GTCCAAGATTGTTGGCAGTAATACTGTAATGTATATGCCAGGTTATACAAGAGTATTGAGGTAATCCGTTGATTCTTGAAGTCTCCCGCTATCTCAGACCGCTTTTGGTTTAATTCAATTCCCAAATAGTTAGCGATGTAACAATATAAGTACATACTCGATACTTTTCTTTAAACACCGAGTAATTTTTGGATCGACACCAAGGCATATCAAATCTCAGATTGTTAGCCGTCAAATTTGTTGTGTTTGTTATTCTAAATCTCAAGGAAAAGTTATTTTTCTTCTCCGTACCACCGTCATCACATTTTTCTGTTATATTAAGCACTTTAAATATATTTTAACTTAGTATTTTATTGAAAATACCTTTACAAACCTCTTCCTTGCTAGAGTCCACTTTTGTTTACTTTTACATTTGGCATTTCTCCTCTTCTTCGCATATAATAATCGATAAAATTAGGTTGGACACCGGAGATTTACCCAAGACCGATAGAATACAAGTTTGCGCTGATTGATGTGAAATTAGGTTTGTTCCATTAGCTACTCGAAGTCACTTTGAGTTACACATATGCGTTCCAAAAGTAAGTTTTAGAGTTCATTCGATATACGCCGACAGTTTGACCTTTACTCGAGTTTTTCTACAAGTAGCTTGTGGAACAAACCTATAATAGCATGTGTAGAGGCTATTCAATCATTATGAGCGAAAAAGTTTTGCGTGTTGATTTATACTTTTAAATATTGTTTATTTTCTGCTTTTATTAAAAACAAACTGTTACGAAAAATGTATCCGTTAATTAAAAAAAAGTTAGCGCTCTTAGTTGCCCCAAATGACTATTTTTTTGCAGGTTTTTACAGGAAGCTGTTCCAGGTGGCCAACTTCCATAAGGTTTGTTAATGGCGAAAATAGCTTTTCCTGCAAATCCTGCAAATCGTGAAGCATCTGGGGAACACTTAAAGAATAGTGACCGTAGAGCTAAAAAGAAGTGGGCGTGGCGCGCCCCTTTTCCTGATTTTAACGGCAATTTTTTTTGGTGCAAATTGACAGGGGCGCTAGGGGGCGGTAAACGTGGAATTTCCAACATTTTCAATTTGCACCAATAAAAAGCTTACAATTAAACTCAGCAGAAAGAGGTGCACCACGTCCACTTTTTCTTTTTTCTCTAGCTCAAAGGTCCGTGTTCTTTAGGTATGCCGCATCTGGAACGCGGCTAATGGCTATATGTGGTAGGCGATTTTTACTTGTTCAGTAGAACCATAGGTAACGTCTGCACTATTGTGAATACTTGGGTAGGT